CGTAACGCAAATAAAATAAAATAAAATAAAATAAAATAAAAATAAATAAATACCATCTGTCTGACAGGACTGTAATAAGGACTAGTAGAGAAAGTGAATACAGATAAAAGAGCCAGCCAAGGGTCTGCCACATGGCTCAATAAATTGGAACTATTACTATGACGTGTGCTCTGTAAATTACCCATTTTCTCCTAAAATCTTACATTGGGTTATATCATGTGGAAACTAGCATCTCTATTTGGCAGATGAGGAAACCAGGGCTTCAGCAAGGTTATATTCCAGATCCAGAGTCACAAAGCCAGTTGGTGCAGATAACCACACATTTTCTACCCTGGATCACTGTACAGTGCTTGCCTCAGAACACCCTCTCCTTCTCCTGCCGTTGAACCTGGTGGGTGTCCTGACACCCACAGAAAGTCCTCAAAAAGAGGAGAGCTGCTAAACTCTACCCAGCTGAGAGCCTCTTAAAATACAGTATGTTAACACATATATATGGAATCTAAAAATAATAATAATAATAATTCTGAAGAACTCAGGGGCAGGACAGGAATAAAGACGCAGACGTAGAGAATGGGCTTCAGGACACGGGGAGGGGAAAGGGTAAGCTGGGACAAAGTGAGAGAGTGGCATGGAAATATATACACTACCAAATGTAAAATAGATAGCTAGTGGGAAGCAGCCACATAGCACAGGGAGATCGGCTCTCTGCTTTGTGACCACCTAGAGGGGTGGGATAGGGAGGATGGGAGACAGACACAAGAAGGAGGAGATATGGGGATATATGTATATGCATAGCTGACTCACTTTGTTGTAAAGCAGAAACTAACACACCATTGTAAAGCAATTATACTCCAATAAAGATGTTAAAAAAAAAAAAAAACTGTCACTGTTGGAATATTTTAAGTTCACATGTTATACCTGAACTTGCTTCTAGAGACTCATTCTCATGTTCTCTATTGTTTTTACTGAGTCACCTAGAAAGAAAATAGAGGAAGCTTAAGTTATTATACCACTTACCTGAGTCAATCTAAGATGCAACAACATGGGTGCTGTGATAAAGAGCAAGTTGCATTTATGGGATCATCCATCTGCAACTCAGGGCCTGCCCAAAGGACAATTCTGAGGCCCTAAAATATGTTCTGAGCTCTCTTTTCAGCCTCCACTTCTTACCAAATGCTGCTCTTACACCTCACATAAATCAATTCATCATAAACCCTCTTCCAGGCAGCATCTCAAGTGCCATCCTAAGTTTACATGGAAGGGAGGTGATCTGTCCGCTGGTTAGAAGAGTCCACGCATCCTTGAGCCAATGAAGTGGTATTTTCATGGGTCCCTCCTAACATCCTACTACTGAAGTGGCCCTGTTACCTGAAAATCTGTAACAACTCTCCAGCTTGGAGGATTGGGCCTAGGTTTGAAATTTGGAATAAAGCTCTTGAGCATACCACACATACATCTCCTCACCCCACAGCAGTAGAACATGTACAGATAGAAGTAGCAGAAAACTAGCTGTGATATGTAAGGAATGCCATAATTATCCTACAGAACGTTCTTTTTACAAAAAACAATGAGAAAGCAAATCATTTGGGATCCAATATAAGCTGTCTTTGCCAAAGGCTGTCAAACGATGACTTGAACAAAATTGATTGGTCTGCAAAAGTAAAACAAACAAAAACAAAAAAACAACAAAAAAAAGCACATAATGATTAACGCTCATTTTTCCCCAGCCTCCAAGTTTGGAGGCTGAATCGTTCAAAACAAAATGAAATAAAACAAAATCCTTGTTATCCTAAAACTCACTGTCCTTCCCCTAAGTCACGGGTCAACAAGTGTTTTTGGTCAGAACTAGATAGCAGATAGTTTAAGCTCTGAGGGCCATACACTCTCTGTCACAACTACTCAACTCTGCTGTCGAAGTGCAAAAGCAGCCATAGCCAAAATGTAAATAAATAGATGTGGCTCCATTCCAATAAAAATGTATTTATGGACAGGGATATTTGAATTTCATATAATTTTCCCATCTTACAAAATATTATTCTCTTTTTGATTTTTTCCCAACCATTCTTTGCTTGTGGGCTGTATAAAAATAGGCGGGGGGCTGGATTTTGCCCACGGACTACAGTTTGCCAAACCTGCTCTAAGTCAGCATATATGATCAGGTGATACCCAAGTAGGCATCTCCACCTGCTCAAGGACCAGCTCAACAGAGCCTTTTTCCAAGCTCTTAGCAAAGGACCTGAGTCCCAGGGGTCACTCCATGTACACTTCTTCAGTGAGCAACTTGCCTCAAAATAAAAAATCCAGAGGACTAGATTTTAGAGTGAGACACTGATCTGATGCTTACAAAATGCCATCCTCATCCTTTTCCCTGTCTCAAATTACTGATCATGTACTTCCCATTCATACAAATAAATAAATTCTGCAAGCTCATTCCACTGAACTCTTCTGTACAAATGGTAAGCAAGGTTTCCACCTCTCCACCTCAGCTCCAGCTTTTGCTTACTCCTTGTTTGCAAAACAACAGGCACTTGAAGAGTAATAAAGTTCACATTCTACTCCAATAGAGATCAGAGAACTTCCTACCATCTATCGAATGATTAAGACCCAGTATCGATAACTTTATTCGTTCATCTCTGGAAAGAATCAGCTCTAGGCATAACGTAGGAAGGATAAAGGAGTACAATATGACGCGAGCTTCCAACAATTTAAAATTTTCATAGATATTCCCATTACAGTGCCAGCATAACACAGCACTGTACATTGAATTTCAGCCTTTCTCCTTCCTTTCTTCCCCCTCCAATTGCTCAGGCTTAGAAATGCATACTTGGTAAGTCACGTATTCAAAGAAGCAATTTCTTCTCTCTTTCCAATAAAGCACAAAAGGGCATCCAACTTTTTGGGTGAGAATGACCAGCCTGAGAATTTCAGATATGAGAGTGGAGGTCCATTGCACATTTCAGCTTTGAAATTATCCCCATGTCACAAATTCCAGAGTTTTATTCTGGGGCATTCCAACAGACAGAAGCCTATATTTGGGAACAATCTTATGGCCTTAGGAAAGTAGTACTGACCAGGACAACTTACTCTCTTTCTAAGTGAATTTGGGTTTGCACACCCAAAACTGTAGGCTGCTACTCAAACTCTGGCAGTGATGGGGATGGAGGGAAAACTGTTACCACAGTTTTCACGACTGGTCACCCACACAAAAATCCAACAACACTCTTTGTGCCATCTCAGTGACCAGGGACAAAGATACTCATTTTCAAAGCTGAAGAGACCTGACTCCAAAGCAAAGGCTAACTTTCTGAGCCTGCTTGCATTTCTTTGCATCTGCTTGCAAAAACCTCAAAAGTTTCCATATGCATCTAGATAATCCTTGGTTTTATGACAGAGAACCCAGAAAGCATCGCAAAGTTGTAAATGGGGAGGGGAGAGGAGAAAGCACTACCTCTATGCTACATAAAAAACACACCAATTTCTAAAGATTCCTTTGTGGTCCAAATGTTAAAGTAAAATGGTCAACTGCCCTGGCTTGCCCAGGACTGAACCTGGATGCAGGACTTTCCGTTTAAAAACCAGGATAGTCTCAGCAAACTGGGGGTGTTGGTCACCCAGAAATGTCTCTTCTAGTCCAAGTTTTTGGATTTTAACTTCGACAAATCTGCCAAAATGCCTAGCATAAGGAAGGGCACAAGCCCTACACTAAAGAAACAACATGATTCTTAGCAGCTTTATTGAAAATGACTACCCCAAAGTTCAAAAACCACTGTCAACAGAAACACTACAGATTATCTCTGGGCTATAAAGGAGAGAGGTTCATTCATATAGACCATTTTATCTTCCATCATGTCCAGAGTCCAAACAATTATGATGTGGGGGAAAGAGGTACAAAGAC